TATTACAACCGACGTGATGATCGAAGGAGGCGGTAAACTAATAAAACTGATAACGACCTTATTGAATGAATGTCTCCAACAAGGTAAAATCCCGGATACCTAGAGGAATGCTAAACTTATACTGCTTCATAAAAAGGGAGATAGGACTCAACTGAAGAACTACCGTTCCATAACTCTCCTATCGCACCTGTTTAAATTACAAACAAAAATAATTACTACACGTCTACCGCAAACATTGGACGAGCATCAGCCGAGGGAGCCGGCAGGCTTTAGAAAGAGTTACTCAACTGCGGATCACTTGCTTACCATGACACTCTTGATGGAGAAGTGCAATGAATACCACTTCCCTCCATATTTCATAGTCGATTCCATAGTCTATAAAGGTCATAATCTGGCTTTAGACATGGTTGATACAACCAATACAAGAGACTACCAGCGAAGCAACAGCAACACACTAAATATGAAAACCAATCAGGTCTCACTTAAAAGAGGAGTTAGACAGGGCGATACTCTATCACCCAAAATGTTCACATTGGATCTGGAGGACGTGTTTAGAATGGTCAATACTTGAGCCACCTACGTTATGCAGATGACATAATCATAATGGCAGAAGGTCTTGCAGAACTGGAGAACATGATAAATGAACTAAATGAATAGTCCCTAAAGATTGGACTGAGGATGAACCTCAGCAAAACGAAAGTAATGGAGAGAGCGGAGAAATATGCGTCGTCAAAAAATTGTGCTTGGGAGAGAAAATCAAACAGTGGAGATACAAAAAAGAATACAGCAATCCTGGGCGGCGTTTAACAAACTGAGTTAGATACTCAAAAACAGAAAAATAACGTTAAAGAACAAAAGAAAAGTATATTATATGTGCATTCTGCCGACAATGTGCTATGGAGCGGAGAAATGGACAATAGTATCAAATAATCTGAATAAGCGACATTATCAAACTAACAGCAGGAATACGTTGGGTGCAGGAAGCTGCAAACAGAATAAGGTGGGGGTCAGAAGTGAAAGAAGATCGAAAATCGCGATAGAAGGGAAGCAACGCTGTGCAACAATCTTATAACTTTTATTTTTAAACTTCTCTTATCTCAAACTGTCAATATATCATAAATTTGTCGCTTCTTTGTAGCAGTTTGTTAAAGTAATTAATATATTTATTAATTAAGCTTCAGGATAATGTCCAGCTATTTCTCATGTTGGATAAGGGAGTGTTGCAATACTTATCCGAATACCCGTATATTATAATTACCTGACAAGCTGTATTATTTCCCCATTCGCCAAGTATCATGTGGCCAACTCCATTCAGAGCGTTTTCTATACAGGTTTTGTCATAATCATCAATGTTTTTTAGCTCTTCTTTTATAACACTGTAATCTCTAGTGAATGGACACCTTTCCTCATAAAGCGATGAAAATGCCATCTGTAATAGAAGTAAAATATAAATATAAATCATATATTGCAGGTTCTTTGCTTTGTCGACTAGGGATTTTCGAACAGTCAGACAATTGAAAACATTCTAAGTTGCCAAAAGTTATTGTTGTATCATATTGAAAAAAAAACGAAAATAATGAAAAGGAATCACAGTGATGTGGAAGAAAATTATATTTTTGCTCCCTTGTATTTTTGAGCCTTACTATAGACAATAGCAGATATCGATTTAAAGAGTGGTACTAAATTATCATATTCGAAACACAGTCGTTTCAGAAAATAAAAAAAATATATGAAGAGTTGTAAACGTTCTGGACAATAATCCAGAAATAACATGTGAGATATAAGGTAAATCGCAATACAATTTCAGATTCCACAAAAAGTATTTGGAGAACAATCACAAGATTTGCAGGCAACAACATTTTCATGTGCAATAAGTACAAAATCTGCCAAAAAAATAATTTAGGATAACAATTATGGTAACGAATTCGTGACAATTGCTTATAAAACCTGAAGCTCAGTTTACTTCATATGGAATTAACAATCAACGTCGGTTTAATATTAACATATGGTGTGGCATTCTAAATAGTCAGTGGTTTAATTCTTTCGCATTGGATAGCCAACTTAATGGAGATGGTTCTTTACAGTTTTAGAAGTTCATTTACAGAATACATTGGTCGAAGTTGCTCTGCATATTTGACCATGATGAAGACCTCCAATTTTTTTAAATAATGTTGGGAATTGTCTGAATACACATTTCGGTGATTGCTATACTTGCACATTCGGCCCAAACTATTGGCCACCGAAATCATCCGATTAGATCGATCGACCCTTAGATTTTTGTCTTTCGAGATGGATAAAGTCGTTAGTTTATTCTATGAAAGTGGACAAAAAATGCTTTACTAACTCGAATTCTTAATGCTGCAGCACAGTGCAGCATCATTGTTCGCTAAAAATCGCTACTAATCATTTGATAATCGCACAAATAAAGGTGATTAAAAATATGATGAGGTGCCAAGCAAAACCCCACAAGTCCGTCAAAGCGAGAATTTCACAAATGCTATTTTATAGAATAATTTTTAATTTGTCCTTGTAATTTAAGTACTTACTCATTTATACTTCGACCGAAATATAAATCTGGCACAAAATCGTATAGTTTGGAATTAATATAAATCGCATTAATAGTATGAACATTTTGGGTTTTGAATAATTTTTTCAAACTTGTCTTGGTATAAAATTTAATAATCAAGTTCAGTAAAATTCTGTTTGGTTTATTTATATTTTCTAAACTAAGTACTTATACATAAATAGAAAGTTAAGTTTACAACAAAAAATAGACAAAATTAGTTCTGTATAAAATGTGAAAGACCTCGTCATCGACAACATTCATCATTCTCACTCTCTTGTTCTTCCTCTGGAACACTGGGAACATTTTCGCAAAATACAATATTTGTGTAGGTGCCATAAAAAGCGTTCATATTCTTTCCAGTTTTGGCCATATAGGATACATAATAGTTCATCTACGTATTTTTTTTTAGCAACAGTAATTAGATGAATGAAAGAAATTTTGTTAAGAGGAATCTTAAAATTGTTTTCCCAATTCCAGCATCTCTGGAGCAGATGTTTCTTTGTAGGATTGGGCTCAAAATTTAAAAAAATCATTGGCCCTCACAGAAACGATAGCACGACCCTTTTTTGAAACTCCTTTCTCAATAAAAACTATTGGCTAGTGATATTTTGGGCAAATCGGACATAATTATGGATGAGTGGTTTTGCTTGTAACACGCATTTTTTCAATTATGTTTTATACAAGTTTTGTGACTTGTGTGGTTTTGTTTGGCACCTCCTATGAAGAGGTGATATTGTCCAAAACGTATGAAGAACTATTTGTTTTATTGGGTTTTTATAGCTATTTATGTACCAAGGGCGTTACGGACCTTATAATGCCCTGAGGGCCGAACTAGCCCGAGGGCCTTTGGCCCGAGGGATAGGTTTCGGCCTGATGGGCATTATTATCTCCGTAACGCCTGTGGTGCATACAATGCTTTATGTTTCACCTAATAGCCTTACCATTTAAAAAAAAGTATATTTGTACCGGTTTTACGTAATTTGTTAATTTCAGATTTTAATCTGACGTGACTTTGACTCCTGTCAATGAGCAGTAATTTACTGCATAAAATGGAAGAAATTCCAGAAAATATTATAAAAAACGCTGCAAAAGCTACGGAAGATTTGTTGACGATAAAGTCAAGGGCATATTATGATAGAGAGTATGGCATATTTATTATTTGGAAGGATAAAAATGCCATTGCCATCATTAATGAGACTATTTTACTG